ACACACACACACACACATCCCAACCAGGACAATACCTTCAGCTACTGTGCCAGGTAAACACACAGCTCAGTGCTATTTGTCTCTATTGGAGGTACATGCAGCTGATTACTGCCTGGAGTGATTTGTCCACAGATTCTCATCGAACGATGAGATCTAAACGATCTAAAAAAAAAGGCTCCTGGGGTCAACCACATGCCATTTGAATGTAGTTGTGCGTGTGTGTCTGTGTGCGTGCGCTATCAATTTGAAAGATGGAATAATGTTGCATCACGTATTATTGAACAGTTGGTGGGCAAGAACGGAGGGACACTGCATAGGGGGAGTTGTTTGGGGGGGGTCAACATCAATACTAACAGCCGATGTGACATTCACACCCACAGGAAAAATGCCAAGCGCCCCCAGACACACAGGCCTGTGCGGTGCTCAGAGCTGTGTAGTTAAAGTCCCCCTCTACATCCTCTTCTGAACCATTGCTCACAGAGGCCAATGTGTGCATCCACCCTCATTAAACACGATGCACATCGCTGTAAAGGAACCACAATGGAAACGTTGTTGTGTGCTGCCACCTAGTGTCCTGCGAGGGTCGCTTTTCAAAGCTCAACATAGAATGGACAGATTTCATAAGAGTTCAGTCCATCAGAACAGCCTAATTTGAACCCCTGGCAACATGTCGATTGCTGCGTTTACCACTTCATCATGCTCCACTGAGTGGGCTAGAACCAATGACAACAATAATTATTAGTTTTATTGTGTTAACACCGTTAAATTAAACTCAGATGAACCTCTTTTCTCAACTAAGACAGTTTAGGTTTACCTCACTGCTTGTATTAACTGATGAAAAAATAGTTCTAAGCAGTAATATGGAAATTTGGGGATCTGATGCATTGAGATACATAGAGAATTAAGGGTTAATGGTAGATAGCTAATCGATTCATGGTGCCAGTGAAGATTCACACATTTAACCCAAATTATATTTTCTCTGAGGACTGACACCATCAAGCCATTACGCAATTAGCGCTGCCGACTCAGCCTGAGTGTTTTGGATTTAATCAGGGGTTCCTTCGGCTCTGAACGTGGCTCGGAACATTAAGAAGCTTTTCCAGTTGGCCCGCAGCCAGCCAGCTTGTAGGATATTTTAAGCCGACCCAGTGGATCCGCAGATGTTTTATTGAACTTTTTTCTCCCAACTGTGGAAGAGCGATTCAATTCAATTCAATGCAATTCATTTTATTTTGTATAGCCCAAAATTGCAAATTACAAATTTGCCTCAGAGGGCTTTTCAGTCTGTACACATACAACCCCCTATGTCCCGAAACCCACCATCGGCACTGGAAAAACTCCCCAAAAAATGAAAAAAACCTTCCTAGAGGGAAAAAAGGGAAGAAACCTTAGGGAGAACGTCAGAGGAGGGATCCCACTCCCGGGATGGACATCCATGATGCAGAGAGTGTCTATAAATGAGTGTCTATAAATGCGATGCATGTGTGTGTGTGAGGGTGTTGACATCCTGTCCTCTTACGACATTTACCCTGAACATTTAATATATGTTAACATATAACATACGAGTACTCACTAAAAATAAATTGATAAAAATCCATCCAGTCTCCGTGAGCTCCATAAGTGAACTATAAACTAGTGGGAGCCAGATATATATGGTCCTCTACAAGGCCACCACGTTCTCTTCGTCAGTACTCCTCACTAAGAAGTTACTCTTTTAATTTCTTTTTGGCGGGTTTCAGATTCTCTGCAAATGTATTTTATTTCAAGGGGAGAAGGTTGCTATTTGAAACGAATCACAAATTAAATATCCTACATAGTTCTGGCATCCTACATCTGGCATGATTGCTTTCTGCTTTACTGTCAAGTTCTTCAGACATTTAATATTCCCAGAGTGACTATGACCCATCATTAGTGTTTATGTATACTGTATACTTATAATGCACCCTTCTGTGCCCGTAAAGACACAAATTTAGAAGTAAGCAAGTAAACACCTTGCTAATAATGGCAATTCAGTACTATTTAAATGAGCATAAGGAGCATTATTTCAACCCACCTATGCTAGATTGATATCCTAAAATGTATATGTACATACCAATTAGAATATTAAATAATACATAGATAATGCTATTAGAATGTCTGACTCTCTTAACAGACCCCTCCCTTCACGTCAGCCCAGAAGTGAGGAGGTGGTTCATCTTTTCTCCTTTAATCCATTTGCCTTTTCGCAGATATTAAGCTACTGATTTCTAATCAGTATCAGCGGTTAACCTCTCTGTCTTTCTTAGGTTAAAAAAGAGAAAATAGCTGCTAAAACATCCCTGACTGACTTTCTGGGGAGTTGTCTTGTGGGAGGATCTGTCAGAGTTGTGGTCTGACAAAATGGTGCAGCGTTCTCCCTAAGTCTCAACTTCGGGAGGAGAGTGGCGGGGCAGTGGTCAGGTGACACCCTGCTAAACTCAGTTGATCCTTCCCATCATGTCAATATTGAGTGACATTCAGTTCAGTAAGCTTCCCTGACCGATCCTCTTTCGTTGCTCCTTCTTCACTTACCCTTTCATGAGATCTTTCTGGATTCTACTGACGTCTCTCTTTCTCTCCTCATCTTTCAGCGCTTGAATCATTCCACCTTCCAACTTATAATTTTTTTTCATGCTTTCTTCTTTTTTTTTCTTTTTTCTCTCCTACCTTTCCTCATTCCCTCAATCTGCCAACTTTTCATCCTTCCTCCCTCACTTCCTTGCATGATTCCAGATGAAGCCGTCTTTTCCCCTAACCCGAACCTCGAACAAGAAAACACTTAAGAAGGCAGTTTAAGCATTATGTCTTATGTGGTACTATCATTATTTCCTATTTTTGTAATACTAATGTATTTATTTCTCTGTTTATTTTTTTTATTTGTCTTTGGGGTGCAAGTTGACCACGGCACAATTTTCCATGGTGACGATGAAGTATATTTTATCATACAGTTATACAACTTCAATCAGAGTTTGTGAAAGCCCTCAGTTAATCCACCTGACCTCGTTGAGTGGTTTAAAGGCTTGTAAGGGTCAGTTGGTTGAATTTCTCCTTTTTGTAAATCCACATGTGCTTTTGAGGATTGTTGGAGCAGGTTAGCTATTGTAGATCCAAGCCGTCTTTGTGATACTATCTGAAACATTGCAATCCTTCTTGACAGACCAAACACAGCAGAGGCTTGCATATTGTTATAATATGTCTCATTAGAAGTGACCAATTACAGTGAAGTATTTTGTCAAATTTTATTTTCAGTGTTCCTGTCCCACAAATACCACAGCCTGTAAAAGTGTTGGAATAGTACAGTAATCTGCATAGTCCTTTACTTATAACGTTTTCTTGTTTTATTCTCCTCTCTATGTTGATCCCACTGTGTCATATGATCTTTCGACCTTCCTCGGTGAGCTGTTTTCACTCTGTTTTTTTTTTTTGGATATGTTTTAGTGCATTGTGATAATCTCCTAAAGCTTCATAAATCAGTAACGCTAAATCAGATTATCAACCGGTCCACGCTGAGTCGTCCAGCCTGAGCATTTGGATAAAATGTCACTTGCCCTGTTGACTGCCGAGCTCTATGCATTTTGGATACTCTCGGGGGAAATTTTCAACAGTATAACGTTTTGATGTGCCGAAAATTTAGGACACACACACTCACACACAGATAAATAATGAAGTAAAACACACAGAATAGAGCACTAATAGTTGGAAATGTATTTAAAGTTGCGCATGAAAACAATCAGTGGAGAGGAATGTAACCAAGGAAATGTTCCAGATTGTTGAGAGTGAGCCCTCTATTTTTCTTATACCGCCATTGACTGCCTGCTGAGTCAGCACAACACAAAATATCCCCCTTAATAACCACCCCCTTGATACATTGAGTTGTGACAAATGTTCTAATGATTCTGGTCGTATCACAACCTTTTCGCATCTGGCCTTCTGTGATCTTAGCAATGTTCGCACATGAACCGCCAAAAAACCCCAACAAACATTAGTACAGTGGTGGCACATGTCTGCAGGTTTGGCTGAATCCAGTGTCACAGCATGAATGACCCGACAGCTTATCTACCTACACGTGCACATAAGCATGCATGGGTACAGACACACACACACACACACACACACACACACACTCACTCTCTCTGCAAGATATGGCCAGATGGTGTAATCCTTTAGTATTCCCTGTGTTTCACATTTCTCCCCTCCTGCGTTGGGATTACGTTGTGCTCCAATCGGATTTTGGCCCACTCTCCAGTGATGATGCTGATGATGATGATTGGCGGGGGAGTGAGTGAGTGAGGCAGGCGTGCATGAGAGACACTGTACATGGCGTAGTGCAAAATACTGCGTTGGATGTAAAAAGCTGCTGTTTGCAGAGCGGGTCGTTCGCCATCTGGTCCAGGTAAGAGACAGGACGAGTCATAGGAGACATCACAAGGAGAACGTGTAAAGAAAAATACATTTTCAGGGCAAACAAAGTAGCTCTCTTAAATTATCAAAAAGGTGATGGACAGGTGAGCTTTTATTTTGAAAACGCACCTGCATTTCACCTTAGCTTAATTTATGGAAAGTGAAACGGAGTAAATTAGCACAAGTTTATGTGTCCATCCTGTTGTACTATGTAAACAATGTCTTTACAAACATTTAAATTTCTCCTTTCTCCTTATGTTTTGTGGATGCTTCCAGATCATCTCCATTATATTTTTAATGAGACTTTTCTCACTGTGTGTGTGTGTTTCCATGGGTATTGTGAAGCTTTGTGGGTTTATATTGTGTCTAAACAAGAATAGCATCTTGTTTAGCTTCCAGTCCTGCTGCTGTGTATAGAACGAAGTATCTAGGCCTACAGACCTAATCTAAATAGCCACTCCCTATCACATGTGGTCTCATTTCACTCCTATTTAGCTGTTTTAGCATTAATGCACTAACTTTCTGGACCTAATGCCATCAGTCCGACGCAGCGTTATCATTCTCTTTCTCTTTACACGCAGGTCAGTGCTTCCCTTGTATGGTGGACGTGGTGCCTGTGAAGAATGAAGATGGCATGGTCATAATGTTCATCCTCAACTTCGAGGGCATGACAGAGGAAGTACTCCTAGACCACAAACAGGAGCTCAACCACCGCCTACCCACCTGGCTCGTCACCGGTAGATACCCATGAGTGCTCAGTCCCTCTCTGATGTTTTTACAGCTGTGCAATGACCTCTGTTAGGAGTCTCTGTTAAAATGATCAATATCGAACATCAATGAAGGAATAAAATAGGCCGTAACTATTCATTCAGTACAATAGGTACAGAAAGTTTAATGGCTTTGGTGACTTAAAATGTCACAGACTACAATGGATGCCATGTGTATGGAATGAACAATGTATAATACATGCAATTCCTATGACAGAAATGATTCAAGTAATTGTGAGTAGTAAGCCAGGCGCACAGCAGGACCACTGCAGGGGCAACCACCATCAGATAGAACCACCATCTACAGAAGCCTGTGGGGAGGGAGAGCACAGAGACTTTAGGAGAGGGTAATGTTGGTTTACGAGTACAGTAATATGATTAATATCTAAAATAATAATGATGATGGCAGCAGCAGGCGTCAGCAGGGCCACGGCAGGACCAGGATCCAGAAGGAACTACGATCTACTAAGACCTGCTAGGGGAGAAAGCACAAAAAAAACTCCCGGAAAGAAGCTGAATTAGTCGTGTGCATTAATAAAACGTGAATTATGGTAGAACGAGAGCGTGAGAGAGGAGCTCTGTCCCCCGGCAGTCTAAGCCTATAGCAGCTTAATTAAGGGCTGGTCCGGGCTAACCTAAGCCAGGGAGCCGGTGCAGAGAAGTTAATACAGGCGTGATATGATCCCTTTTCTTAGTTCTTGTTAATACACGTGCTGCAGCATTCTGAATCAACTGGAGAGGCTTAAGAGATTTACAAGAGCAGCCCGATAACAAAGAATTACAGTAGTCCAGTCTGGAAGTGACAAACGCAGGAACTAATTTTTCTGCATCTCTTTGAGACAGGAAGTTCCTGATTTTTGATATGTTACGTAGACGAAAATAGGCAGTCCTTGAAGTCTTCTTTATATGCGAGTTGAACGTCATATCCTGGTCGAAGAGAACTCCCAGAATCCTGACGGTGCTGCTGAGTACCAGAGCAATTCCATCCATAAAAACTGTATCACGTGACAGCTGGCTTCGAAGGCGCTCTGGGCCTATCAGGATAACTTCCGTTTTTTCTGAGTTTAGCATCAGACAGTTGCCGGTCATCCAAGTTCTGATGTCTCCAAGACATTCTTGAAGTCTAACTAGCTGGTCCGTCTCTTCTGGCTTGATCGACAGATACAGTTGAGTATCGTCTGCATAACAATGGAAGTTTATGCGGTGTTTCCTGATAAGATCGCCCAAAGGAAGCATATAGAGGGAAAATAAAATCGGTCCAAGTACAGAACCTTGTGGGACTCCGTGACCAACATTGGTGGTCTTTGAGGATTCACCGTTTACAAGCACAAACTGGGATTGATCCGATAAGTAGGATTTAAACCAGCTGAGTGCAGTTCCTTTGATACCAATTAAATGTTCTAGTCTCTGCAACAGGATACAATGGTCTATGGTATCAAATGCGGCACTGAGGTCCAGCAAGACAAGAAAAGAGATGAGTCCTTGGTCCGATGCAAGTAGAAGATCATTCGTAATTTTCACCAGTGCTGTTTCTGTACTGTGATGCGCTCGAAATCCTGACTGGAAATCCTCGAACAAAGCATTGTTTTGTTGAAAGTCACATAATTGATTTGCGACGGATTTCTCAAGGATCTTAGAGAGGAAGGGAAGATTACAGATAGGTCTGTAGTTAGCCAACACCTCTGGAGCAAGAGTAGGTTTCTTAAGAAGAGGTTTAATTACAGCTACCTTAAAGGACTGTGGTATATGTCCTGTCCACAAAGACAGATTCATAATATCTAATAAGGATGTGCTAACTAAAGGTAAAACTTCCTTAAGCAGCTTGGTCGGAATCGGATCTAAGAGACCAGTAGAAGATTCCCAAAGTGGGATGGATGCCGTCCCTCCTAATCAAACCAGGCTCTCCCCAAAACGTCTTCCAGTGATCAACGAAGCCCAAATTATTTACTGGGCACCACCTCGACAACCAGCGGCAGAATGACGACATGCGGCTGTACATGTTGTCACTGGTCAAGTTTAGGAGGGGGCCAGAGAAAGCTACGGTGTCCGACATTGTCTGACGTTTATCCTTAGCCAGCAGTTTAAGAAAAGACTCAACATGCATTTCTTCGACATACCTTTGGATTGCTTTTAAAGCTGTATTTGGTCTGCCCCCCCACCCCCCCTCTGACCTACACCTCCAATACCTGGAACATTCTCCCATATCCTATGCCTATGAGTTTTTATCTTTGATTCATACTTTTCCTTGCAGTTCTCAACTCCTCTCCTTCCTGCGCCAGAATAATATTGGAAATACTCCCTCCTCTTTCTCTTCCTCCTCCTCTCCAGGTCGTCCACGAGGCTTCAAGCTGCGTCTTCCCCTGCTGCGCTCGTTGTCCAACAGCAAAGTGTCTCTGGACGACACAGAGGGGGCTCACGTCCCTACTGCTACACCTGTGCTGCACCCAGAACACCACTTAGGCCTCGGGGAGTTCCTGCCTCTTCCCTCTTTACAGCTAGAGCAAATCGTTGGCAGCAGGTAGGCCCTGTGAGGGACATGTTGGGGACAAGGAGATTGCTTAGCCCAGCTGCTTCTTTTGGATAAGTCTCACACTCATGAGTCCTATAAAGGGTCTATGAATTTGCATTAAAAAAATAAAATGTTCCGTCATCCTCAATTCTAATGAACATTTATCTGGCTTTGATGTAGAATCGTTCAGCTGAGGTATTTTCAACACATTTATATTTAAACATTTTGATTGTGAATATTGTGCAAATGAAATCCTATGAGTTGAACATACACCTCTAAATCTCATAACACCTTCATTGTAGGGCCATTTTTGCCATATCTGGATTGTATTCACTTTAATCTATTATTAGGTTCTAAAGCTAATATAAACTACTTCTAGTAAATTAGTCTCGACACTTCTTGCTAGGAACCTTCTGTCTACTTTCCTCCTAGAAAGACCTCAGAGGTCATTGTTGGCCAAAACCAGCAGCTTTCCTTTTTTATTATAGGCAAGGCAAGGCAATTTTATTTGTATAGCGCTTTTCATACACAAGGCAGACTCAAAGTGCTTCACATCATAACATTTCATACAATGTAGTGAAATGAAATGCAGGAATTAAAAGACAATTAAAAACAGCAAATAAAATTATAGATTAAAATCTTATTTAAATTGTTTAATTAAAGGCAGAGGTTAAAGTGCAATGTAGGTAAAATTTAGCAGAAGGCGAAGCTGAACATAAAGGTTTTCAGTCTTGTTTTAAACATGGTCAGAGTTGGGGCAAGTCTTAAATCTTCAGGAAGTTTATTCCAGCTGTTTGTTGCGTAGTAACTAAATGATGCTTTCCCATGATTTGTATTTACTCTGGGAATCACTAATAGATTGGTGTCAGAAGATCTTAGTGATCTTGAAGGCTTATGTAGTGGAAGCATATCAGTGATATACTTTGGCCCTAACGTATGTAGTGATTTATATGTGAGCAGTAGGATTTTGAAATTAATTCTCTGACATACTGGGAGCCAATGTAAGGATTTAAGAATTGGTGTAATGTGCTCACATTTTTTGGTCTTTGTTAGAACTCTAGCAGCAGCGTTCTGAACAAGCTGGAGCTGCCTGTTTGTTTTGGAAGACCTGCAAGGAGACCATTACAAGAGTCTAGCCTACTAGTTATAAAGGCATGTACAAGTGTTTCTAAGTCTTGAGCTGACATGAGCCCTCGAAGTCGTGCTACATTTTTGAGGTGGTAGTAGGCCGATTTTGTTACTGATTTGATGTGACATTCCAAGTGTAAATCTGAATCCATAATAACCCCCAGATTTCTGGCTTTAATTGATGTTTTCAGGGAAAGAGAGTGATGGTGTTGGGTTACTTTTCTTTTTTAGCACCAAATACAATGATCTCAGTTTTGTCTTCATTTAGTTGTAGGAAATTTTGACACATCCAGTCTTTGATTGGTTTGATTGGTGCCAGTGCATTGATTTGCTCAATGCACTGGCACAGAAGATCTATGGGGCGGTAGTCGTTTGGTGATAGCGCTACATAGATTTGGGTCATCAGCGTAGCAATGGTGGTCAATTTTATTTTTTTGCATGATTTGTCCTAGTGGAAGCATGTAGATGTTGAATAAAGTCTGCCCTAAGATCGAACCTTGGGGGACTCCACACGTTACGTCGGTTGTTTCTGATACGAAGTCACCAATGTAAACAAAATAGTTCCTGTCTTGTAGATATGACCTGAACCAGCTTAAGACTGTGCCTGAGAGCCCCACGCAGTTTTCCAACCTGTCCAAAAGTATTGAGTGGTCGACAGTATCAAATGCAGCACTGAGTTCTAATAGCATTAATATTGAAGTATATAGACTCACCCTCACCTTAAACATGCAGTTTAATGACTCCCAAATGTACATACCACCATCCCCTTCCTTGTTTCCTAGGTCAGCCCTACAGAGTTGGCCAGAAGACCAACAGGAAGACCAGTGCACCTTACTGGGCCCTGACCCTCCTGCACCCAGTCCTTCTCCTCCTCCACACAGAGCCCACCGGGTGGATGCGCTGACCCAGTCCTCCCCCTGTGTGGCACCTCACCACCGCCTCAGCCTGAACCCGGACGGCTCGGGCTCCAACTGCTCCCTGTCGTGTAGCCGCTCGCACGAGAGCTTCCACAGCATGCGTCGCGCCTCCTCTGTGGACGAGATCGAGGCCCTGAGGCCCGACTGGGACCGCAAGAACTGCAGAGGGAGTGTCCGGCCGGGTGAGCAAGTGGATGCAAAGGAAATGAAAAATAACAGCTTCTCAGCCCTCTTTCTATCATCCCCTCTCCTGATGCTCTGTGCGTGTTTTTTCAGGCGCGGTTAACAGCAAAGCGAACATATTGAACTCCACGTCGGACTCGGACCTCATGCGGTACCGCACCATTTCCAAAATCCCTCACATCACCCTCAACTTTGTGGATTTCAAACCGGACCCACTCATTGCCCTGCCCAGCGGGGAGATGGACATCATAGCTCCCTGCAAACTCATCGACCGGACACACCACGTCACAGAGAAAGTCACTCAGGTAGGACGCACTTCTTGAATGCAGCGTTCATTGCTCTCATTATCTGGCAGCTTCTTCGTTTTGTGGTCAGGCTTTTTCTATTCTATGCTGCGGCTCAGTCCTAACTGATCTTACAGGAAGTGGAAACGTGTATGTTGTGTGCACATACATGCGTAGGTGCTGTCAGACAGATGTGCAAGTTAGCATGATTTTGTCATGCCAGCTTCTTCCACTCGCGATCATGTGACAAATCTTCCTTGGGAGATAATAATCGTACCAACGGCTGAACTGAACAAATCGGGGAAAATTTCCTTTTGTACTTGGACAGACGGCTTATTTGAACATTGGTCCATACACTGCATGAAAAGTGAGATTTTCGTCCCTGTAAATGCCCGTAAATCTCCCTAATTTCCGACCGTCTCCGACAATTTGCAATCCGCGCACGTCGCGTTTGTCTGTGTCACAAATTGTCGGACACGAACCATGACGTATGTGGAGAGCTGGCGGAGGTGTGAATAGCCCGAATTAGCATATGAATGCAGCGAAACCGCGGGTGGCCGAGCAGGCTTGAATATCCTTACTCCTAATTGGATGAAACCACAACTTTCAAACAAGTAAAATCACTCGTGATTGGTTGGCAGATCTGTCGCTATTGGTCACCCACCTCATTTTATTTATATATATATTTATAAATTCATATTATGCTGTATATTAATTTCATTGTTATCCTATGTAGGCTACTACGCTATTATTAGGATACCACCCAGGACATCAATGAATTTATAGAGAAAATGAACATTTGCCAGGAACATGTTTATGCAAAGAAAGAGCTTTATTAACAACATACAAACAACAACTATATACAAAGTGAGGATCTGCCCACACTTGGGTAAAGGCGGTTTAAAAAAGTACAGCTCAGTAAACTGTCCGCAAAGCTGCAGTCCCGTTAGAGGATGCCGGCGACCCAACGAAATGCCGGCGACCGTACAATCCACCCCGAGACCCCGGCAACATCGCCATGCTCTTTGTCCGACATGAGCTCTACGGTGGCGGATTTCCAGAGTTCCACCTCGTCAACAGCCAGCACACTTTGTCTCGATTCCAGCAGCTGTAAAAACAACAATGAATCAGTACTGTGCGATACGATCCGTATGGACACAACACATCTATCAATGCACCTGAAAAAAGTAAGCAAATAAACTCTTACCCTCTTTCTTCTCGCTCGACTCCGCGCTGAATTCTTTGCAGCTTCCGCCCGGAATGAGTGTTCCGGCTGGGAAAACCTGAAGCTCCTGCGTACCGTCTCAAAATACGTCTTACAGGCGGCTGGAAAACAATTAAATGAGTGTGGTATGAATAAAAAAAATCAAACGCAAGCCACAGTAACATTTAACAAGGAAGGAGAAACGGAGTTGTGAAGACGGCGCACCGCTTCCTGTAAACGACACGGCAAAGAAAATACACTTTAATAAAGCTGTTTCTGCTCACTTGTAAGGCTACTAGGCTACTCTTAGCTTTCGTTTTAGGCTACGCTACTTTTAGCTTAGCTTGCAGTCATCGAACGTATTCTTACCGCTATCTTGGGGTTGTGCGCCCGTCTCCTCTTCTTTGAGTCAGTTCCTCCCGACTCCAGAGCCGCCAACCTCTTCTCTATGGACAGCAACCTGGAGAGTCCCGAACGCTCCAGTTGAGCGAACCGCTCGTTGATATCGGCAGTTTGTTGTTGGAGTTGACGAGACAATCCACTGAGAGCATTCAGCAGTTTCTTCTCGTCTGTCTGCGGACTGGCCGAAAATTGCTGACCGCGGAGAGGAGTTGAAGGCGAGTTGAACGCGAGACGTCGTCCAGCCATTATTCACGAACCAGAAAAAAACAAACAAAGTAACTGGAGATACAGTTCTTCTGAATATAGTAACACACACGTGTCTGTTTGTATGCTCATCTTGCAAGTACTGCTGTATGAGTCATGCCTATGACCTCACACGTGATTGGACGATGAGTCTAAGGGTCCTCCAATCACATACGAGGTTATTGTTATAGGGAAGGACCAGTATTTTAGGATGAGTCTGACATACATGCAGTGTTTACAATGTATCATCAGATGTACTCTTGTGTCACTGAGGTTGACTGCCATGACATGTAAACGGGTAACATATATGAATGTAACTTACTCAATCGATAGATGCAGAGCATAAAGGTCAGCATATGTTTATGCTAAGTGGTGTGGAAACACTACAGTTTTGAGGAACCCGTCCTTGACCCTCTAGCAGAACTACGACCAGCCATTATAAAGCAGTTTATTGTTAGTAATGTTGTGTCAAAGGGTACGGTATTTAAACATGTTCTTGCACAAGTTTCCTGGCTTCATCCCCACCCGGACAGACATTTTTATGGAAAGCCAATAGAAGTTTGGGGCTTGCAGGGAACAGACACGTCATACCCAGCATCATTTCTGCCAGTTGAGCGCATTGCTAGAAGATGTGTGGTTAAAACATCCTCTGTGCATTTAAGTAAGACCAAAGAAAAGGTCACTGTAGTCCTGCCACTATGCACTGTAGTTGAGCTATAGGAGACTGTGATCTCTGCAGACCCCTCATTCTGATTCAAATGTTGTTTGCATGGAATGCTCATTTTACCTTGATTAAAACTCATTTTTTAAAGAAGTTATTTTGTGTATCTTTTTTACATAACATTTGCCATTGCTAATGGCGTACACAGTAATCTAGCACATTTGAATTAAATAAATCAATTCAAGCTAAAATGTAAGAGCCTATAATTAGGCTACTGAGCCTGATCTATTTGTACCAGAGATTTTCTTACCTTTTAAAAAAATGTCACCTGGGCTAAAAGTCCCTCTGCAACCCTGATTTGCATTTGTATAGCTCACAGCATTTTCATTTTCATTTTACATGTCAAAGCCTCCCCTAGAATTAGGAGGAGGGGGGTCATGGGGGGACAACTGCCAAGGGAGGCCCACATCAATTTCTGATAATTTACGGCAGTTTTCGGGGGTTGCCCGCAAATTGCCGTGAACAGCCGTAAACCTGAAATTCCACGACAATCTACAGTGCCGCATACTGACGAAAATCCCACTTTTCATGCAGTGCCTCCTCTTTGGCCCAACGAAGCTGCTTGAGTCTAGCTGTGAACCATGGTTTATTGTTGTTGTATGTGCAGAAGGTTTTAGTTGGCACACACATGTCCTCACAAAAACTGATATAAGATGTCACAGTGTCTGTGACAAATAGCCAAATTTGATATCACATCAATCAGTTTTATATAAATGAATCCGTTTGTTACTGAAGCCCACATTTGCTGTGGGCTTCATAACTGTGATGAACTGCACGTAGCCAGGAATGTGCCATAAATTTCACATCTGCTGCTTTCTGACACAGATGATATCTCACGTCCTTTTATGCCATATTTCAACATCATGATGTTTAGATCTTGTTAATTAAATGTCTCTTCTTTGTCAGAGAGAGTTTTAAGATTGATGCCAACATCTAGAGTTTTCGTTGGTATCTCCTGTCCTTAGTCTGTCTGAATTTGAAATCCAAGTTGAGTATTTCCCTCCTTTAAAGCGTCATTTCCCACCATTCATCCTAGAGTTTGAAAGATAACTATGTTGACAAAATGAAAACCACAATCTGTTTTGTCAGTTTCTCTTTTTTGATTATTGTGTCATGCTTTCATCACAGCATGTCAGATAGTTCAGATTCCATCTAAAAATTGTATATATTCATCTCATAGAATAAAAATACATCCTTTTCACATGTTATTCACTCCAGCATGAATGTTTGTGTTATCTACTAGTGCTGCCAAACAACAAGTTTGGAACACTGCATGTACATGTAACCCTCGCTTGAGGTTTTCCCAACCTAAAGTTCCTTACTTTAATCTTAAATTCTCACTTGACCCAAAGATTTAAAATTTGCCTGCGGAGCCAAATGTGTGTGGAAAACAACAACAGTCAGTCAGTCCAGCTGTTACCGTGGTGTATTTATTAATAAAGAAATGTGGTTAATTCATTGTCCATCCGGAAAGAAAAATATGGGGAAAAAATATATAATCCATTTTGAAGTCCCTGGAAATGTCTTTTTTTTGTGTCTTTATCCTACCACGTCTCCAGGGCTGGAAGGTTGGTCTGTTTGGTAGCCCAAAAAATGGTGATCCGCACGCCCTCAGGCAGCACTCGTGTCCGGGCTCAGTAATTATTATTGTGACCTGAAGAAGGTCACAATAATAATTACCCTCCCAGACACTAGCAAATATCCACATGGCTATCACAAACAGAAACAATCACAATGCAAAAACATACATACAATCTATAGTTGCCCACAAAACATGCTAATCGCTAAGCTAGCGAATGTTAGCCAAAAAGCACTCGATCTGCTGACTACGTGCTAAAACCATGCTGACTGCCAGCCAGCAGGACATCCACAACCGTGCCAGCCGCTTTGTAGCGGGGACACACATGTACGCACACACTCACCGCTGAATGAGGGATTCTGTTGCCGTGGCTGTCACTGCCGAGTGGGATTGCGGTCCATGACAGGAAGTGACCTATCCGACCCGGATATTTATATTGTGACAGCTAGCAAGCGATTTCACATTTTATTATTTACCATTTTATTTATTACCAGAGGGTTACATACAGTCCCCTCCAAAAGTATTGGAACGGTAAGGCAAATTCCTTTATTTTTGTTGTTCACTGAAGACATTTGGGTTTAAGATCAAAAGATGAGTATGAGACAAGAGTTCAGAATTTCAGCTTTTATTTCCTGGCATTCACATCTAGATGTGTTAAACAACTCACGACATACCACCCTTTGTTTGAACCCACCCATTTTTCAAGTGAGCAAAAGTATTGGAACATGTGACTGACAGGTGTTTCTTGTTGCCCAGGTGTTGCCTTTTAGGTTGGTTGTTAAATAGCTCTGCATGACTAGTCTAAGTTTTCACCCTTGGTTCAAACCTATTAAGACTGCAATCCTGTTAAAAAGGATAAACCAACATGAAGA